TGCCCTCTCCTTTCTGCACGCAGATCTGAGTTGTTGTCCTCTTTTCTAGGTTTTAGTCCCAATCCTGCACACTTCTCGAGAAGCAGGATGCCTTTAGAAATCCCCCTGCTCAGAACAGGCCCGTTTCCCTAAAGCTAGCTGAGGCTCTTTTCCCTAAAGTTAGCTCACCGTTTAGGAGGTATGATGACTCCACTCCGAGAGGCGGATTATTCTGGAAGTAGGTTCCACCCCTCCCCCAACCCCTTTGGGCTTCTGACCGCCCGACAGGACTGGTCTCTGCGGGCACGGCTCTTGAGATGTCCCTGCTTGTATTTTACTCAGTCATCGTTACACAAGAGGACGGCACACCCATGGTGGAGGACAGCTATTGTTTTGTCTGACCTCCATCCTTCCTTCTTTCCCTGGAGACGTACCTCACATCTTCCTGTGAATGGCTGGAGGACTTCTGACTAAATCTGGCCAATCATGTATTTCATCTCTCAAGCCATGTGATTTGTTGAAAGAGAATTCTGAGTATAATTCTGAGTATACCATAAGCAAGTTCCAACATGAATGACCACAGGACTGATGGGGCTACAAAGGAAGAAAGGAAGTCACCCAAATGGGAAAGAAAGTTTCTGCCATTTGCAGAAGACATGATTGTATCTCTAGAAAAATCTAAATACAACCACCAAAATACAGACCTTCACAAACTCAGTAATACTGGGAGATACATTACCAACATACAAGAGTCAGAGTGCTTTTATGAACTAAAACTGAACTCTCCAAAAAAAGGAACAAACAAACATATTATGAACTAAAACTGAACTCTCCAAAAAAGGAACAAGCAAGCAAACAAAAAGTGCTATTTTAGTACCATTGGAAGAAAGAAACAAAAAAACAAAACAATAACAACAAAACCCTTAGGAGTGGATTCAACCAAGGAGGTAAACAATCTATAAATTCGCACCAAAAAACTGTGAGAAAATGAAAGAAATGCAGGAGACAAATAGTACAGCCCATTCATAGATTGAGACAGTTAATATTAAAAATGCCTACACAACAAATCAACCTAGATAATCAATCTAGAATAATCAGTGCAATCCCTACGACAACTCAATATTTTCTAGGAATTTAGGAATTAATCCTAAAATTCATATAAACCCCAGGAGACCCTGAATATCTAAGAAAAACATGAGCCAAAAGAAGAAAGTAAGGTACCTCGCTGCCTAATTTAAATTTCCACTCTGAAGCTATACCAATCATAGCAGCATTGTAAAGCGCAATATTACACATAAAGACCAATGGGGAAGAATAGAGAACTGGTTAATAAACTGTGAATTTACCATCAGCTGATCTTTAACAAAAGTGTCAGAGGTGTCAGCGCCACACAGTGAAGAAAGGATGGTCTCCAGGGGGCTGGAGGGATGGCTTAGCAGTTAAGAACATGCACTGTCCTTGCAGAGGACAGGTATTCAGTTCCCAGCAGTCACACTGGATGCTTTGAGTTATCGGACGCCTCTGGCCTCCTCTGAAGGCACTGCATCCATGTGCACATAACCCCACCCAGACAAACACATAGAACTAAAGATAAAAGAGGAGAAAAGGTCTTATAGATGGTATTGAGAAAGGAGAGCAGTGTGAGAGTGGAAGTGGATATCCATCTCATGTGCAAAAGTCAACTTGAGTGGATTAACCATGTCTCTAAAATGTGAGACAGAAATTGTGAACTTATTAAAAGACAGGGGTAAGTCTTCTTGGCATTGATTGGCCTGGACAGTGCTTTATTGGCATGACTTAAAAGCAAGGGCATAAAAAATAGAAATAGACAAATGGGACTATATTTAACTTAAAATCTAAAGTCATTGCAAGCTACGTGTGGTAGTGTACACCTGTAAGGACTAGCCTAGGTTACAAAGCAAGAATCCTTCTCAAGAAAAATTTAAAAAAAAAAATCACAAAATCTTAAGTGTGTGATATGGTGAGTTGATGAATTAGTCTGACTTAATAACTTACGACACATACATATATCAAAACATTCCATGCCTTAATGCACAAATTTTTTATTTGTCAATTATACTATAATAAAGCTGCAGGGGGCAAAAGGCTCTCCTTTTCTGAAGAGAGATTGTCTCTATGTTTTAATTTTCTTGGGAAGACAGGAACTAGTGTTCTGAAAACAGCTCCAATATAAGGGAAATTCGATAAGTATTTAGTAAGAGAGAAATGAATTAACCCAACACACCATTTCCTGTAGACAATACATTTCTCTTTGTTTTTTGGCTTATAGTGGGAGGTCGACCAAGTAGAAACCAAAGCCTTAACAAGCGAAGTTTCCCGTCACTGTATTATTAAACGAGCTCATGTCTATTAGGAAGAGAATGCTTGCTACCCAAAACAATCAATGTTTCGACTCCTTACTTCTCCTTTGATGCAGGAGAGTGAAGAGGAGTCCTGCCTGTGACCTCAGCAACCTAGGCTTTGCTTGGGATCCAACCGTTTGTGGTCCCTTCTGAGTGGACCAAGGGGGTTCAGAACTTGTGACGATGCTGAAGGCTGTTACAAGGTCACGCATTTTCAGATAATTGAAGTCTATGATGAATATCTAATTTTGTGGCTGTGCCATGGCTTTTGAATGGACATATGTCCTCTAGACTAGAGGCATGGGGAACCCCAATGTTTGGGAGAGATGAGAGACAGGCAAGGATGATCACATTTCAGAATTAAGCAACTGTCAACCAGAAGATGTAGCAACTTCAAAAAGTGGAAATGATATTTCTGGTAATGTCTCCTCCTCTTCTCTCCCCACCCCCCTTTTTGTTGTTTCAGGTTTTGTTCTTGTTTAGAGACCAGATCTCTAGTGGCCTAGGCTGGCCACAGAGTAGCTCTGTAGCTGAGGATGACCTTGAACTCCCTAATTCTTCTGCCTCCAGCTCCCAAGTGCTGGGCTTTACGGTCACGTGGTTCCCTGCCTGGCTGCACTGCTCTCTGGGTTGTCCCCTTCTCTTTGCTCCAGACTGTCAGTCTGTACAGCACTCACTCTTGGCTGAACCCCATGCCTTGCTCCTGGTTTGGCAGGAACTGATGGACGGAAGGTGTTGCCTGGAAGCCTCCTGCCTCACTGTTTACTCTGGGAGAAGGAAGTTCTGTGGCTCTAGGTTAGACTTGACCTAGTGACCCAGAATACAGATCAGTACTTCCCATCTTTCCTTGGCACAAATCCCCAGACCTTGCCACGAGAGAAAGGGATGGAAAAAGGTGGAATGAGGCTGGCTGGGGATGGGGGCCTGGGGTGGGGGATGGTAGTGCCAGTGTGTGACACAGGCCGGGGAAGTTCAGGAGAGGCATGTTTTTCATTTGCCATAACTGAAGGTACACAGGACAAAAATGAGTCAATTGCCAGCCAACTCCGGCTCTGGTAAGGTTCCATGTCACCCTTTAGTGGCACCCAAATCCTGCCTTCTCTCCTCCAAGCTGCCACACACGCTTAACCGTTTCTTGTGACTTTCTTAAACCACAGCTGGGATTTTGTGTGAAATTGTGGTGGCTTCAAGGGTTTGATATACTCGGCAACACTGTTTACTTTGTGAAAGGCAGAACCCGAGCAATGGTCATGTGCTAATGAGAATAATTCTACCCTCCGGGCCCAGTCAGGCCACACAGACACGCCTTTGTTTTTACATTAAGACCTTTCACCTGAGCGGTGTGCGTGCGTGCGTGCATGCGTGTGTGTGTGTGTGTGTGTGGTAGAGCACTGGTGTAAACACGTGTAAAGCCTTGGGTTTGGTTCCTAGCACAGCAAATGAGCAGAAACACCTGTAGTAGGATGATGGGATGGTGCCCCTCTGTTGCTTTAATGAATATTTGCTCAGCACCAGCAGCTGCTCAGACTGGGCATCTCTTATCTGTAGACAAGAGGCAGTCTTATTTAGGACGGCACGTGACTCGTAAGAAACTGGAGTGTGTACTGCACTGACTCTTCTCGCTGCGTATTCCTTCACTTAACCCACACAACCCCGACGGCTGCATTTCCGGATGAAGGCATCAAGGGTGAAAGGGACCAGCTGAAAAATGCTGTGCGGATAACACTCAGCCAAGGGGCAATTCTGTCTCCAGCTTCTTCCATCGCACCCCTAGGGGGCAGAGGGAAGGGAGGCAGGAGTTCTTAGTTCATTGTCTCTCGGGTCTGAACACTGATACATTCCTTTAGTATAAACGCCACCTCTTGAGAGGGAAGTCTTTTAAGTGGAAGATGTATATAAAGTTCCAAGAAAATGAATGATGTCCGTAGGTTTCTCTTTAGACTGAATCCATTCTGTTGCTGGGATAAACACCATGACCAGAAGCCACTAGGGGAGGAGGGGTCTGTTTTAGCTTACACTTCCAGGTCTCCTGTTCATTACTGAGAAAAGTCCGGGCAGGAACCCCAGCAGGTGTCATTGGAGGAATAACCCCACCCCACCCCCCAGCCCCAAGCATCTTACACAGCCCAGGCTCATAGGCCTAGGGATTGGTCTTCTCACATCATCCACCACTGGTGACAGTCTCTCACAGATGTGAACATAGGCCCTTCAGTTTAGGCTCTTCCCAGGTGACTCTAAGTTATGTCAAGTTGGTGACAAACACTAACCAATACAAAAGACTAGGGTGGAGGTGCCCGTGCAGTAGAATTTACGTATTGCCACTAAATCATATATCTAAAAATGTCAAGAATTGTTAATTTTTTTAATGCAGTGTGTATTTTTCAACATTTTTCTAATGTTCAGGAAAAAAGTTTTTTTAAAAGGGCATTATCAACACTGTGTAGGGTCAGGGAGGGTTAGTAGAATTCAGATGTGCTTCTCATACCCCATATTTAATACACATGGATCCTCTCCTTCCCCTAAGAAATGTCGACACAGTTCTCTCCATGTTTGGAGAGAACTCAATAACCCATGTTTCTCTCCGAGGCATTATTTTACAAATCTCATATTATCACACATTCCACCCCTTAGCCGTGTAAAATCCAGGGACGGGAGAACGCCCAGGATGGGAACGCGCGTGGTCACGGCAGTTGTGACGCAGAGACCTGGGAACGCGAACCGCCGCCGGCTCCGGGGCCCATGGCGTCCACCTCCCGTGCCACCGCAAAACCCTTGCAGGTCCTGGTCCTCGACCCGCCCAAGGTCCTCAGGTTCAAAGGTCCCTTCACCACCGTCGTCACCACGCATCTTAAACTGCACAACCCGTCAGCGAGGAAAGTGTGCTTCAAGATGAAGAGCACCAACCCTCGCTGCTACTGCGTGCGTCCCAACAGCGGCGTCGTCGAGCCGGGCTCCACAGTGACTGTCGCCACCATGCTGCAGCCCTTCCGCTATGACCCCAGCCGGGAGGTTAAGCACAAGTTCATGGTGCAGACAATGTTTGCTCCCCCGGACCCTTCGGATATGGAGAACTTGTGGAAGAAGGCGAAACCCAGTGAAATCATGGGTTCGAAACTGAGGTGTGTGTTTGAAATGCCAAAAGAGATTGGAAAAGGGGACGAAAGCTTGAGACTCAGAAAGCCAGCGCACCTCGACGATCCCAGGCTCGCCTCCTCCACGTCCTTGAAGAAGAGTCGCACCACGCCTATTCCTGTTCTTCTGCTTGTGATTGGAGCAGTTTTCATTGGCTTCTTTCTGGGGAAATTTATCATGTAGAGTGAGGCACAACGCTGTCCCCCCCCACCCCAATTTAGATCAGAAACAACAACAACAACATCAACAACGCATCTTTTTACCCACCATCACATGGGAAGTATGATTCGTGGTGACCAACTTTGTGTGTGTGTGTGTATAGTGTCACAAAGGCTTCACCTCTAATGATCTCTTATGGTTGGAGGATGCAATAAAAAAAACACAACAAACAAACAAAAAAAAAACTGTTGGGCTGCTGGACACTATGTATATTATCAGATCATCGCAAGTCAGTCACCCATTCCGTGCGCAGTGAAATGCACCAACAATTGTTCTTTTGCTTTTAATAAGAGTTCAAGAATGGTTCAGTCTCGGAAAGGTTTATTTTGCGAGTTCATTTGGTTGTTAACCTCCTGTTTTACCTCTTCATATACTGTTTATTGGGATTTGCCAACCTGCTCTTTCTGGAAGTACCGAGAGGTGTTCAGTGGGGGGAAATGCTATTCTTATTACACATGCTAATATGGCAAAAAATACTCCTATTTTTTCTGAGATAATTGTTGGCTGAGTTTTTCATCTTTACAAATCTGCCCCGTGGTATTTAACATTTTTTTTATTGTTTTTATTGAGCTATACATTTTCCCCATTCTCCTTGTTTCCTCCCTTCTTCCCTTCCACCCTCTCCCTGCCCCCCCCCCCCCAGTTTACTCAGGAGATGTTGTTTTTTTCTTCTTCCTAAGTGGATCCATGTATGTTTCTCTTAGGGTCCTCTTTGTTGTCTAGGTTCTCTGGGGTTGTAGACTGTAGTCTGGTTATCTTTTGCTTTATGTCTAATATTCACTTATGAGTATATACTATGTTTGTCTTTCTGGGTCTGGGCTACCTCACTCAGAATGTTTTTTTTTCTAGTTCTGTCCATTTCTTTGTGAATTTCAAGCTGTCATTTTTTTTTTTCTGCTGTGTAGTATACCATTGTGTAAATGTATCACATTTTCCTTATCCATTCTTTGGTTGAGGGGCATTTAGGTTGTTTCCAGGTTCTGGCTATTACAAATAATGCTATGAACATAGTTGAGCATGTGTCCTTGTGGTATGATTGGGAATCCTTTGGGTATATGCCCAAAAATGGTATTGCTGGATATTAAGGTTGATTGATTCCTAATTTTCTGAGAAATCACCATGCTCATTTCCAAAGCGACTCTACTTCCACCAGCAATGAAGGAGTGTTCCCCTTACTCCACATCCTCTCCAACATAGCCTGTCATCAGTGTTTTTGATCTTGGCCATTTTGACAGGTGTGAGATGGTATCTCATAGTTGTTTTGATTTGAATTTCTCTGATTGCTAAGAAAGTTGAATATTTCCCTAAGTGTCTTTGGCTATTTGAGATTCTTCTATTGAGAATTCTCTGCTTAGATCTGTATCCCATTTTTAAAAATAGATTATTTGGTATTTTGGTGTCCAGTTTCTTGAGTTCTTAGTATATTTTGGAGGTATGTCCTCTGTCAGATGTGGGCTTGGTGAAGACCTTTTCCCATTTTGTAGTCTGCCATTTTGTCTTGTTGGTCATGTCCTTTGCTTTACAGAAGCTTTTCAGGTTCAGGAGGTCCCATTTATTAATTGTTTCTCTCAGTGTCTGTGCTGCTGGGATTATATTTAGGAAGTGGTCTCCTGTGGCAATGCATTTGAGGCTACTTCCCACTTTCTCTTCTATGAGGTTCAGTGTGGTTGGTTTTATGTTGCGGTCTTTGATCCATTTGAACTTGAGTTTTGTGCATGGCAATAGGTATGGATCTATTTGCATTTTTCTACGTGTTGTCATCCAGTTATGCCAGAACTATTTACTAAATATGCTTTCTTTTTTCCATCTTATAATTTTAATTTCTTTGTGAAAAATCAGGGGTTCATAAGTGTATGAATTGATATTTGGGTCTTTGATTTGGTTCCATTGATCCTACTGTCTGTTTTTATGCCAACAACAAACTTTTTCTGGCAACTTGAGGTGTCTGTTGTGTCATGGGGAGGTTAGAGGAAAAGTACACTCTGTGGGAGTTTGAAATTTATATTGTATGAGTTTCTCTTGCAATGAAGCTCTACCACCTACTTTACTATTTGTAACTAAAATGCCATTTATTGAGGAGAGGAGTTGATAAACCTTCAAGCTATTGTGGTAGTTTGAACAACTGTAATTGATTTGCTTTCCAGAAATATAAAATAATTCTTCGAGAAGTGCTGTATGGCATTGAGTCACGTATGTACTATGCAGTTGTCTTGGATTTAAGTTATTCCATTCTTTGTCATTTCTTATTCCACTGTCTTCTCAAGCCAGACTTATTTGTCTGGATTTTGAAGTACCCTTTAGCCAGCCTAATACTTTTATTACTTTGTAACATATTTCATAATCACAGTTAAAAATAGGGTGTGTTTTTTTCCTGTCTAACTTTACATTTCAAATGAGCTTCCATTATGGAAATTTAAAATTACTGAGCAATCCCTGGGAATTTCCTTTGTGAAAAAGAACTTTTTCTTTGCAAATCTAACTGTTAATCACGTAAAATACTGTCCAGGATAAAGGCTCACTCTGGGTTCTGATATTTTCTTACACTTGGCCTTATGTCTTCAGCTATCTTATTCATACTGAAGAAAATTTTGGGACCTCAGAAGATAGATCACATTTTAAACCGAGGCTAGCCTAATACTTGTGAATTTTTATTCTTGAATTTAGGTGTTAGTTTTGTAGAAGATGTGTTACACCAGAGGGAAATTGGCTCTTGGGTTTCAATGTGGTACAACGAATTGTGCCAGGCTAGGTCTGTCAGCACGCCTTATGTAAGAGTGAAATGATCCCAAGTATTATGGTTGTCTTTTCATTTTAAATGTGTTTGACTTGGTCAGATTGTATGTGTTGTGGCTGTTCTCGATGGTATCTTTAGAACCTCTTGCTTGTGTGCAGAAATTCCCAAACACTACGTGCCACTGCGGGCGCTGCTAGTATTGGCTGTGTGCCGGCTGCTACTGTAACCTCCCTCCTGATATCTGGAAAAGCATGATTAAAACGGTCTACAGTTTCCAACCCACAGTACCGATCTACACTACCACTTACAGCTCGGTAAATAGTCAACAGTCCTAGTGATAAGTATCAAGTGTGGTATTTTGTGTCTTTTAACGAAATACTTAAAATTTCAAAGACATAGAAAAAGCCCCTAGAATTCATTTTACTTAGCCCCTTTATTTTATAGCTGGGGAATCTGAGTTCCTATGAAAATAGAAGAGACTTCTCTGTGTTTTCACAGGTAGGGAGAGACAGAACTGAAAACAGAAATCTTATTCCTGGAATCCTATCTGCTCTAGTAATTAGTAGAAAAAAAATTTTGATTTGTTAAATGACTGAAGTAATGACCAGTGCTATTTTCTAGGTAAGACTTAATTTTTTTTTCTGGGCATGGTACTGCTTTACTGAAATCCCAACACATGGAAGATAGAAGGAGGAGGTCATCCTCAGCTACAGAGTGAGTTTGAGATCAGCCTGGGTTGCTCTAGACCTTGGGGAGGGGGAGACACAAAGAGGGAAGAGGAGAGAGAGGGGGAGAGAGAATGATTGAGGGGTTATATAGCCCAAGACTATACCAGGTTGATGTGCATATTTTAATGTTTAAGCTAGCTATATTTCTCATATTGATAATTATCAAGTGCCATTAAAATACATTAAGTTTTAAGGTAGACTTTTTGTTTTGTTTTGTTTTGTTATTTTGAGACAGAGTTTCTTTGTGTAGCCTTAGTTGTCCTGGAACTAGCTCTTATAGATCAAACTGGCCTTAAACTCACAGAGATCCATGTGCGTCTGTCTCCCAAGTGCTGGGATTAAAAGTTTACGCCACCATCACCCAGCTAAGTTAGACATTTTATAAAATATAATATGAAAAAATAAGACATTGTAGTTGGTTGTTTTTTCCCCCTTCTTTGACTCTTTGGGGGCTCTCCACCCAGCTCCCAAATAATCACATGGAGTCTTATTTTTTCTTTTGAATGCCTGACCTTAGTTTGGCTTGTTTCTAGCCTATTTTTCTTAATTTAAATTATCATGCCTACCTCTTGTCTCTGGTTTATTTTTCTCTAATTCTGTATAACTTTCTTACTTTGTAGTTGGCTGTGTGGTTGGGTGGCTAGCCCCAGGCATCCTCCTCTCTGCCCTTTCTCACTTCTCAATCTTTTCTCCTTTTTCTCTTTCTGTTTATTCTCTCTCCCTGGCAGCCCCACCTATCCCTCTCCTGCCTAGCTATTGGTCATTCAGCTCTTTATTAGACCAATCAGGTGTTTTAGACAGGCAAAGTAACACAGCTTCACAGGGTTAAACAAATGCAACATAGAAGAAGCAACACAGCTTTGCATTATCAAGCAGATAGTCCACAACATAAACAAATGTGACGCATCTTAAATTAATATTCCACAACATAGCTTCTGACCATCCCACGTGTGTCAGTTTGAGTTCCTAGTTCTCTGCATATCTGCTGTTTTCAATCAGATTGGGAAAGCTCAACATAGGGAGAAGTATCTAAGAGTTTAGAGGTGGGAGTACTTTTGCTCCCCATAATGAGTGACCTTCCCCATTCCCCCTCTGCCTTGGTTGTCAGAAGCACTGGGCTAATTTGGGAGACAACCACGGTGACTGTAGCTCAGGACTGGTAATTCATTGCTCTCCAGTTTACGTCTTGATTCCATCGTCTTTATTAGAATAGGGCTCCCACAATCCTAACTTACCTCAGGGAAGCCTTTTATATACTATTCTATACAATAGAGCCCGAATCACAGTTTTCCTCTAAGAAATGAGTGGTGTTTTTCTGAATACTCTTCAGGCCAACTGCTGAGATCTCAGCAAGGATACAAGCTTAGATTTGGGGACTGGATTTTAAGACTGACATTGAGCAACCAAGGAGCAGGTGGCACAGGCATAAAAGATGTCGAAATGCCCAGAAATGGTTTACATAGGGTCCAAGGAAGAGGAGAGGTTTAGCTTGGACAGCAGAACAGGTGGATGTCTTTAAATATTTAAACTTCTGTCATATGACCTCGTAAGAGCTCTTGTTTGCATGTTTCTAGTGCCTAGACTAAGGCCAATCCGAAGAAGCTTTAGAATAGCAGACTACACGACCGCATATCAGGTTATGAGAAGTGGCTTCCCTGGAAGCAGAGCCATCCATCACCCACACGCCTCATCTAAGAAGACGTGTTTATGTTGGAGCACCGTAGGAGGAATCCTGAATTAAAGAGAACATTAACCCCACAGATTTGCCTCTTGAACAATAAGAAACCGAAGTAATCTCAGAAATTATTATTGGAGTTTAGGAACCTGCGGTCCAGAGAGGAGTTTG